TATATAAATTTTTTTCCATTTGCATTTTATTTGTGTGTAAAATATATATTTGTTGATGTAATGGAACTGAATTTGTTTAATTTTAATTATAAATTTGGAAGTTTTGTTAAAATTTTATAAGATTTAAGCTTTTAATTCAAATAATTAAAATGAAGTGGTAAATAATTTTTTAAGTTTTAACTTATTATTTTATTTTTGAAATTTAGCTAAGCATGAACAGATTTTAATTTTATTTATTTTACTGCTATGCTTTTGTTACCTGATATGTTTTAACTATTTTTCATTTAATTAGTTATTTTCCCCTTCTGTAGTGGGTTGACATTGCTGAGAATGATGACAATGGTTCTGTAAGCAATTTTTTGCACTGCTTATTTTATAACACATTTAACACTGTATTTTTAAATACTAACTTTTTAAAATTTACAAAATTTAAATTTTTATTTATGTAAAATTTTAATATTTTATGCTGTATTATTAAAATATTTTAATATTTTTTTTTTATATTAAATTTAATTTTTGTTTTTAATATATTTTTTTTCAATTTAAAATTTATTTAAGTAAATTTTAAGTTTATTAAATTAATAATTTATTGTTTTAAGGTATTTAAATATGATTTTAAATGGTTTCCAAATATTAATTTCATTATAAGTAAAAATATGCTATATATAAAATTATTTACATTTGATTTCAATTTTTTTTAAATGCCAATTATGAATTAAAAACTTTAGTTTTTTTACAAAATTTGTTTTGCATGTCAAATTTATTTTGATTGATTTGCATGATGCATGATGTTTTTATTTAGTATTTATTTATTTATTTTTTTTTTTATAAAATATAATTGCATCCATCCAAAATCAGAATATATATTTGGATGCCATTGATACAAAAATGCTTGTTATGTAATGTTACAAACAAAAGTGAATTGTTTTTTCTTTGCCTTTCTTTTCTTTTTCTTTGACTTTTATGACACGCATCCCTTTCCTTCTTTTCTACAGTGGGTCCAGGAAGGATCCCCATCACACAGCACATCTATCAAAATTCAGTCTCCCCATCAGTTTGTCCCTAAAAGCGGTGATCCCAACGAATTCAAACGCAAACAAAAAGAGGTCAGTTCAGTTACATTCTTTCTCTGCTTGCATTTTATCTTTTGTTATTTCTTTTTGAATGCCTTGCATTTTGATGAGTTAATGCTTGTTTTGCAAATAGTAATTATTTAATTTCTATTTTGAAAGTTTGCCCATATTTTTTTTATAATACTATTATTTAAAATCAATAAAATATAAATAATAAGTAAAGTAAAATATATGTATTTTACTTTGGTTTATATATATATATATATGTATGTATGTATGATAAACAAATTCAGTTTTAAAACCATATTTTCAAAATTTAAGACAATTATATCAATAAAAGTATATAGACAGTTTTAGACAATAGAATTATATTATAATTACTGGTACATAAAATATTGTATTAATTTGCTCTTGAAATAGATGATTCTGTAAAATTTAGAATTCATTACTTGCTAACAAGGTCATGTTTAATTTAAAACTTTTCTTTGTTTACAATTTGTATATGACAAATTTAGCAATTACAAAAATAAAGTATAAATTATCTTCAGTTTTGAATTTCTTTTTTTTCTTAAATACATATAGTTCTGATGATAAAAATTATTTAAAAAATTATAAAATAAGCATATACAAGAATAAAATTTTATTAAAAACTAAAAATAAAATATTCTTACAACTGAAATTAATATTTTCAATTTTTAAAATAGATTTCCTATGATAGAATCAAAATTTTGTACTTATTATTTACAAATTTATGCATATTAAGTTGTCAATTATTCAGTGGTTCCATATTGAAAAATTTTTATTGATTAAAATATTTTAATTATAAGAAACATTAAAGTTTTAAAAAAATTATTAAAATAAATAAAATAAGAATGATTTATAAATAAATAATTTAAAACCTTTTTGCAGTCTTCATTAAAATTTGTGTCATATTTTATCATAGAACAACAAACCAAAAATCAGATTTTTTTAACATTAAAACTGATGATTTTAAATAATAAAATGATTTACTCATAATTATTAAATTTCAATATTTTGACCTTTAGTATTATTAACATTTTAAATTTAATTATGAAATAAAAATATAACAAAAATACAAGAACATTATTATAAAATTGGAAAGTATTTTTCAATTGTTACCTTATCCTAGAATTTTATTAAAGTCTGTTATTAGATCTTATTTATTCTGTTAAAACATTTAAAATATGAAAACTAAATTTAAGCAAATTTAAACAAAAATATCTTATTTGTATATTGTAATTAATTTATTTTAATTACAATTTTAATATTTTAATTAATTAATTTTGTTATAAATTATTTTAAAGAATAAATTTATTCTTTGAAATAATTTATAACAAAATTAAAATATTATTAGACTGGGCAAAATTGTTTATAGTTTCAAATTTCAAAATAATTGATTATAAAAGATATATATATAACATATAATTGTAATAATTTTTATAAGTATTTTATATAAAAACTAATTAAAATATGCTACATTTGAAGTATATGAAAAAATAATAACTTTTTTTTTAATGTTTTTAGTTGAAGGTCCAAAGCCAGATTATTTATGGACTAAAATAATAATTAATAGCTCAGTTACATATAATTCAGATTTTTATTCTCTGCCATATGGGCACTTTGGCCTTTTATCATGTCCAGTATGGATTTGAGTAAGTCACAATAAGATGAAGGATGAGGCTTGATGAAGACTGTTCATAAAAATTCCTGGCTTTCTCTGTCCAGATTCAGTCTTTGGTTTCCAGGAGCAGCAAACATATCTTTACTACCTTAGTCATCTGGCTGGTACATAATTTGGCTTAAAGATAGGCAGTTAGACCAACACTCTGTATTAAGCTTAATAATTTATAAATTAAATTTAAAAGTTTTGGAAGGAAAGATTGGCCTAGAATGGGACTCAAATTTATTTTGGATGTTAGGTTTTTATCATCATTAGAAAAATAAACATAAAAGTGGAATTTAAACAAAATACACATTGTCATAGAAGCAGGATGGAAATAAACTTAAGATTATAGGAAATAAATTATAGTATAATTAACCAAAATAAAAAAATAACATAGAAGCTGGATAATCAATAAAAACATGTTTTATTCCTATAGCCTTTAGGAATCCAATCATTTCAAAGCATATTTTAATTAGTTTTTAGGAATATTTTGGAATTCATTCTTAATATTTTATATTATTAACTCATCAAATATTATGATTTTAAATTTTGAACATTATTAATTAAAATAATAATGAACATCAAGTAAGGATAATTAAATGATTTATAGATTTTTAAAATAATTAAGTACAAAATTGAGTAATTTACTTTTGTCATTATCAATCTTAAAAAACAAATATTCTATAAAATGTTAAACAGTTAACATTTTAGAAGTTTGTCAATACTATAATCTTCTTATAATCATATAATTTTATAATCACAAATAATTAAAAATAAAATTATATTATATTTATTTTACAATATTTAACAATAATATTACAAATTTAGTTTAATTTATATAAAAGAGTGTTGAGTTTCTGGAATTCTACTGTATATACAGTAGAGTTCCAGAAACTCAACACTTGATAACTTGACATTCTGTAAAAGTCATTCAAAAACAAAAAATTCTAATTTTTTACTTTTTAAATTAATACTAGGATCAAATAAGTTATTGTTCTTCACTGGCAATACTTGAAAATAACATTAATTCTGTGCGTTAACAAAGAATATAATCCTTTTTCCAAGTCTTCCTGTACAAAATGCCACTACGTGAATGTCACTAACTTGAAAGTAGCCACAGAATAGCTAATATTTTTATAAATTAAAATTTAACAACAAATAGAAATAGTCACTATTGATACGTAGGTTAGTATGTATATGAATTTGCACATATGAGGGGGGACCCAAAAAAAATCGGATTTTTTGTATAAAAACTTTATTTATTAACTTTTTTACAAAATTTCTTCAGTCACCTTCAAAGTACTCTCCATTGATGCGATTCACTTGTCAAATCTTCTCCCACTGTTTGAAGAATCTTTGGAACTCTTCAATCTTGATATCATCCAGTGCCCTTAGCAAAGATGTTTTTACCACCTCCACATCATCAAAATGTTTCCCTTTTAGATTTTTCTTCATTTTTGGAAACAGAAAAAAGTTGCGAGAGGCTAGGTCTGGTGAATACAGCGGGTGGGAATGACAGGCCAACCCCGAGAGGCCAAATAGTGGGTCACTCCTAAGGCCGTGTGTGCGGGGGCGTTGTGATGAATGAACCAGTCACCTGATTGCCAAAGTTCCAGGTGTTTCCTTTGCACATTTTCTCCCAAAGGTCTTAAAACTTCCAAATAAAAGTGCTGGTTAACAGTCTGGCCAGGGGGTACAAATTCCCAATGCACGAACATCAAAAAAGACAATGATCATTGTCTTCACATTCAACCTCACTTGTCTTGCTTTTTTTGGTCTGGGAGAGTTGGGAGTCTTCCACTAGCTTGACACTTGCTTAGCTACCATAACACCAACTCTCATCACCTGTAATGTCTTTGGTCAAAAAGTTTGGATCACTTTCAATTTCTTTTTTTAAGTCGCGGCTCAAATTCAATCAAATGTTTTTTTGATCCTGTGTGAGAAGGTGAGGAACAAATTTAGAGGAAGCACGTCTCATTTGCAACTGCTCAGTTAAAATCCGCTGGCACGAGCTCCAACTCACGCCTGTCTCTTCTGAAATTTGGTCGATCGTGAAACAACAATCTTCGTTGATTTTTTGGTGGACTTTTTGAACGTTTTTATCATTTTGAGATGTTGAAGGATGCCCAGAACAAGCACGGTCTTTAACACTTATCTCACCATGTTTAAAGCACCTAAACCACTCGAAAACTTGTGTGCGGCTCATAGCATCCTCTTTAAAAGCCTGTTGCAACATTTGGTAAGCTTCTGTTGCCGATTTTTCAAGCAGGAAACAAAATTTCAAACACACTCTTTGTTCTTTTAAATTTGCCACAATGACTTTGCAGCCGGAACAAAATAACAGTAAGAGAAACACAACACTGTGCTCAAACATAAACCTACAAACTGATGTTGTCTGCTCAGCTATTTTGTGAAGGTCTCTACTAACCCCATCTAGCGGGAGAAATCTGTACTACGTCTACAAATTGCAGCGCGCTCTCAGTTCGGGTTTTTTTGGGTCCCCCTTGTATTATATCTTTAAGAAAATTCTGCTATTTATACTAGCATCATCACTGTCTGTATAACTTGTCATTTTCAGTAACATGTTACTTTCTAAGTCCACATTAAGTCAAGTTTGCAGGACTCTGCTATTGAATAATAACCTGCAAGGGACAAATTATTTCAATCATTAAGTAGCCTTTTAACTTAATTTTAAAATTTAATAAAATAAAATATGCTATCATGTATGATAATCTGGTAATATTAATTTTTTAAATTATATTTGACATTAATATTATAATGAGCAGGAGCAGAATGTTAGGTAAATTATATTAATAAACATATATTATTATTATAACAGTTTCTAAATATCATACACTAAAGAAAGTGTTAAAATCTATTGGATTTTATAGATATAGATAGATTTTAACTTCATGAAAGCAATTAGAAAATGGCACTCTTGCATACATCTTACATACATGTCTATATGATCAATAGTCACAGCCAACTGAATATAATAAGATAAACTGGACAATTGGATATTTTCTATGGCAATCACTTGATTTAATTATGCTGTTCTGATACAATATAAGTGTAATCACATACATATAAAAATTCAGAACAGAAATACTATTATTGAGGCATTTACATTGCTGAAGAATCATAATGATGAAATTATTTAAAAGAGATTTTTAGTTCTCAGTATTAGCAAAACATGGAACAACAGTAATGTTTGTTAAATTCTTTTTAATTTGTGAAATTTTTATAAATTAGTACCTCAGGATACAAAATTAATCCGTTCCAAAACTGAGATCATATCATGAAAATGCCGTAAGGTGAATTATTTTTCCCTATATGATTATATGTAAAACCAAATAATTCATTCCAACACGAAAAACACACTCAAATTAAAGCTAAGTAGTGCATTGAAAAAAAATAACTTTAGTAAGGAAAACACTGAAAAATGCGTTTTGTAGTTGTAAATGTATAAATAACCATAATAGCAAAATAATTGATTAAAAAAATGTAGTTTTATTTGCACTTTACCTTTGAGGATAGACATCAGTGGAGGTGTAAACTGGTGGCGGAGGAGAGGGAGAAGGGAAATGATACTAAAACTTAACTTACATAACACAATGTAATAATAACTTAAAAAAACTTAACACTAATTTTTTTAACTTTTCTCTAAGTTATTTTTAAGTTATTGTTACATTATGTTATGTAAGTTAAGTTTTAGTATCATTTCCCTTCTCACTCTCCTCCGCCACCAGTTTCACCTCCACCGTTGTCTATCCTCAAAGTTAAAGTTCAAATAAAACTACATTTTTTAAATCAATTATTATTCTATTATGGTTATTTATACATTTACAAATACAAAATGCATTTTTCAGTGTTTTCCTTACTATATTNGAGTTTGGCTTTGCCTACTTTTTAAAATGTTTCTAAAATGACTTAGGCAAATGTCATTACTCTGAGCAGCAATATGGCTAGTGTGAACCTTTTTGGGATGTTTCTTTTCAATAAAATCAGTCACTTTCTGATAATACCTCAAGATTTCCTTTATTGAGTGAGATCCTTCCACGATGAAGCAAACACATGGACTGAGACCAATGAACAGAAGTGAATAAAAAATGGCACTGCAAACTAATGTAACGTCGTATGGTGAGTTTTTATTCGTACCGTGGAGCAAAAATATGTTTGATTTTCATGTCGTATCCTGAAAATTTCGTATGCTGGAGCGTTCATATCCTGAGGTATTACTTTAATTTAATAATCAAGTAGTTTTTGTTCTGTGAAAATTAGTAAAGAAATGATGGTAAAAGAATTATTTCTATACATGAGCGTAATTATTTCTATAAAATACATGTATAAACTGAAGTGTCAATAAAAGAATACCTATTATATTAATGATAATTATTATACATTGTTGATGGTAATAGAATAAATTGTATTTGTTTTAAAAAGCTTTACATTACATTTGCATATCTACATAATATAACTTTGAATATATTCATATAGAAATATTTTGTAAAAATAATTGATGAAAGTATTGATTTATGATTGAAGATTGATGAAAGTAATGAGGACAATCTTGTGTATCAACAGTTTGATTCCCTTACATCAGTGTTTCTCAACCTTTTTCTCATAGCGAGTTATAAAATTATGGATAATTTTACACAGACCAATAATTATATACAACTGCAAATTATGCTTATTTATTACATTTATACATGATTATACTATTTAAATGCCACTTGTAATCAACTACGCCAACATCAATATGGTCAAATATTTTTTTGCAGATTGGTGAAATTTTTTCACTGACCAGCAGTTGAAAAAAACTGCCAGAGTCCATTTTGCATTTTATTGCAGAGATGTAGCCTCAAATAAAAGGTCATCTCCATAACTGGAAATTGTTTTTGGAAGATACTGGTGTCTGTAATGACAGAACACAAAGACAATTTTGTAGCTTCAATAAATTTTATTTATATATTTTAACTGAATTTAAAACTTTAGAACTACATTTTTTCTGCATGATACTCTTTACAATGGTAGAGGAGAAGGTGGTATTATGGAACACTGCAGGTATTATGGAACCACCCCATTTCGAACTGATAATAAAGGCGAACTGTAGCGGATTGTGGTTGAGCTGAACTAGGCAGACATCCATAGCAAGGGGAAAACCCGTTTTACTTCGGTTAAACGGTTGTCCGCATTTAATTAGCAAATTTGTTTTTTTCAAAATTTACAAGTTTTGAATGCTATGTGAATTTAATTATTTTTAAAATATAAATCGTATAGTTGTAGGTTCACTGGTGCATGTATTCCGTTCCAGAGACTTAAGGGTACATATTAATCTGTGTGATGATCACGTTTTTTAAATTTTGGTCTCGGCAGACATAAGTTAATTCGAGATGGCGATGCGTGAAATATGGACCTATTGGTGCTTTTACAGTAATATGGAACTCAACTCCTCCGAACTTTCTCTTTGCAAGCGGACATTCCTCCGGAGCAATTTGTGAAAAAGACACTAGGTAGAAAGTCAATTATTCCCGAGAATACTGAAAAAGAGCTGCTGGAATATATATTGTTGATGGTGGTCATATTTTTCTATTATAAAAGCATTTTTGCAATAAAAATACATTGGAGTAAATAATTTTGTAATTATTTAACATTTTTTGTACTTTCTTATTTGTTTTTGGCTACATTAAAGCATTTCTTTGAAAATATACAGTAAGGTTCCATATTACCACCCGATTTTCTCTAAGCCTACTTTCAGACTTTTTGTACTTTAGCCTTCAAAACCCATACTTATAGTTACACTAGCAAAAAATCCAATTAGGAACATTTAGTTTACTAGTTACCAGTACTTTTTGCACAAAAAATGTGGGTGTAGTTATGATACTTTGTTTACAATTCACTAAAATATAATTGGGGTTCCATAATACCACCTTCTCCTCTATATTTATAACATTATCAATCATTAGAATATTTTAGTTTGTTTATTCTTTATAGAAAAATTGAATTAAATACTCTGTATAAATAAAAACTTTATTCAGTTATAATAGATAAAAGTTTTCTATTTAAATTTAAGAAACTACTTAAATATGAAACATCTTTTTATTGCACGAAAAGTTTATTTTGAATGAATTTTTTATTTCATATAAATTTTGTTTTAAAAATGAATTACAAATACAGTTTTATGAAATAAGAATAAGGTTATAAATTTTTAATTACTTTGAAAATTTATAATAATTAGTTTTGTGATATATTTTATGTAATGTAAATAAAATTTAGTTAAAGGCAAATAGAATGAGTGCCAAAGTAACTGCAGGACCACAGTCTCAAATTTTGGAAGGTGTTACTTGGGAAGAAGTAAGAAAAATGCAAGTAAGTGTGAAAATCTTTGTATTATCTTGTATTTTTAATAATTTGCATATAAATTATTTATAAAATCATGATGAGTTAAGAGATAAAACAATAGAACAAAAATCTTCTAATCCGAATACCGGTATTCTTATAAAAATCGTACTTACTCAACCTTTATTGTCCGGTACTTGTAAATTATTTGTAAAACAAACGTTTTCGGCCTCAGTCGAGGTCTGCTTCAGGTTAAATTATTGGATTTCATTCTTCGAATGCACGTTTAGTTTTAAATATAATCGAATTTCTTGCGCGTGTTACGTATCGTCATCGTTTTTGTTGTTCTTCGCATACGTAACGCCAAGCATAAGAAAGCGTGTTTCCGTCTTTGTTGTTTATACATCTCCCTGTCCTGCCTGCTTTGTAGATTTCTAGGGCTTCAAGTGCTCTGATGTGATCCGTATGAAAAGCTCTATTTATTAATCTGGCTTTTGTGAAAAAGACACTAGGTAGAAACATTTTTTGTACTTTCTTATTTGTTCTTAAAAACCTTTATTGTCCGGTACTTGTAAATTATTTTACAAATAATTTACAAGTACCGGACAATAAAGGTTGAGTAAGTACGATTTTCAATAGAACAAATAAAAAAATTATGATTATGCATAATACTTAATGCAAAGGATGTTAGTTTTATATGTTATCAATCTTATACTCTAACTATTGGCAATATTTCTATAAGATGCTTTTAACAAGTATTTTTAAAACTATTATTGAAGACACTGTTTTATATTCAAAGTATTAGATATTATCTCATATTGAATTGGTTGCATTTTTATTAATGTCACAAAAAATTAATGAAGTGAACAGAAAACTCATTACAGCTAAACATGTAAAGGAAGTTAGAAAAGATTAACATTTTTCTGTCACTGTGTATTTTAACCAATAGGAATACTTTTAAAGAATCTATTACTTGATTGTGAAATAGAAGCAGAAGGTAAAAAACCACACATGTATTGTGAGAATGATTCTACCAAATTAGCACTTTTTAAATCATGTAGATTTCACTTTATCAGTGATTATGAAACATGTTTAAGACTGAATACAGAAACATTTGATATTATGAAATGTTATCAATAAAATTGTTATGTATATTAAGCAGATCATTGATAGTTGATATTTTGTTAATAATAAAAAAAATAATAGATGTTATCCAATTATCAGCAGTTTAAAAGAGACAAAACAACAAAATACAGTTATTTCTGTAAAAACTAGAATTACACAGGACTCTACAAACTTACTGGCTTAAGCAGGTTTTTTGTCTTAGGCAAGCTTGAACAAGAAAATAGTCACTGCTTCAAATGTGAATGTATTTTTTTTTTAACCAGGTTTCCATTTAGACATGGTATTTGCTATATTTATTGAAATGGTACATCTGTTCTAAATGAACAGAAACTTCTAATTGAAAATATATACTTTTAAAAGTTTTCTTGGGTGGTTTACTTCCTAGTTTCAATTACTTTGAATCTTGATTCGTTTTTTGAAACCGTGTTTTCGTATTTATTTACTAATGAACACAAGACTGTGTTATTATTAAAACACTTGGCGTTTATCCACTTTATTCAGTTGATACGGGCACTTTTACACGTTTCGGGCGTATAGCCCCTCATCAGTCAACTGATAAGAAGAAACATTTACATTAGATTATTACATTTTTTAAAAATTATATAACGATTCTAAAACATATAACATTTAAGACATACCATTTAAAAAATTTCAATGACACACGTACAGCACAAGTTATTATTTACTGCTGTTAGGATAAGTTGATAACAATGATAACATAAACCTACATACATTAAATTAAAAAATAAAACACTGTATAATTATACACGCTTATACTGATAACGCACATAACTATACTAATTTTTGTGTACAATTGTTTCTTACTGTTAAGTAGCCGTGACACATCCTTTATCTTCTTACTAAAGTTGATAAATATATAGGCAGAATCCTTTCTAATGTTTAATGAATATATTTGATGGTTTCTCACAACATTTCATTTGCACATAACAGAATCAGATAAACTTCACTTAGCATATTATAACAATTTTGTTTCCTGGGCATTATACAATATTGAGTCTTATTGCTAATTTGCATTTTACCATTCATGATGGTCGGATTTTACATAATATTTGTAATAGCAAAAGGTATCTAAGTAAACAGAACACATTAAATATTTTTACAAAAAATTTTTAGAATTTTTCTAAAACATACTAACTATCTTTCATTATTACAATATTTTTAGCCAATCGTTACTTATTTTAATGCTTAGATTCTTGTTTAAACAATTTTTAGAGTTTATTATAGCTACACTTTCTTTAAATTTTCTACTATATGTGTTCTTTTCTTTGTATAAGATTTTTGTATTAGTTTTATCAATGTTACAGTTGTTTAATAGGCAATGATCATGAAAAACTGAATTTAATCTATGATATTTCATATCAGCGATGTGTTCTTTTAATCTTATGCTTAATTTTCGTTTGGTTTCACCTATATAAATATTGGTATCTTTACAAGTACATGGGATTTCATATACTACATTCTTGGTTTCTTCTTTAGTCTCATTATTTTGTTTTTTGGCTTTTATTCTGGCTTTGAATCTCATTGAACTTTAATGCTCTACTCTACTTTGAATCTCATTGAACATTTAATGCAGTATTCTGAAATTTCTGAATAAAACTTTAATAAATCTCTAATACATTTTGGCTATATCAAACAAATTTTTCAAAAAAAAAAAAAACTACTTGACATTCATATTTGATGATGTAATTTTCCTTATAATGTCAAGAATGCCAAGATTTCTTTTAAATAAGAATATTTTTTATTATTTATTCATTTATATGAAAATTTGTTTTAGGATGCTATGATGAGTGGTACAGGAGATCAAGTGGTATTAGTTGGAGCAGCATCTAAAGGAATTATTCAAAGAGATTTTCAACATAATGCCCTTGTTTATAAGAGTGCTTATGCAAAGAATCCATTTGATAGTGTTTCAGACAAAGAGCTTGAAGAATACAAAAAATTAGTAGAAAAAAGGCAGCGTGGAGAATTAGGTATTTATTTTCATTTTGATGCAAAGAATATATCAAAATTAAAAATCAGAACATAATTAAAATTTATTTTCAATATTTTTTATTTATAAAATGAGTAGTAATTTTTAAATTGCAAAATTTTTGGTGTTATATTGTAAAAATAAAATTTAAATTGCTTTTTTGCGTATTTGCTCATTTTAATTGTTAATATAGTTAAGTGTTAATTTGAATTTAAACTGTTGTTTGATTCTATAACATTTGATGATTTATTGAAAGAATTTTAACTTAAATTAAATAAAATAAAAAGGTCAATAAATTTTTTACATATAAGAAACATGAAGAAATAATTGAAAAAGCAGCATAAATTTTATTTTTATAAATAGTAATATTATTTCTGGTATTATTAAAATGATTATTAATAAATCGTTGTAAAACTTAAAGATATCATCTATTCCTAACTCCCTTTCTGAATAGATAAAAATATTTTACTTCTGAACTGAAAGATTTTGATGTATTTTTATATTTCAAAAAAATGTACAGTGATAGATACATTCTGTTTAAAAATTTACTACTATTACAGAATAATATTTAAAAAGATTAATTATAAATATCGATCTGTAATAGATTTATTAAAATGTTAAAAAATGAAATTCTACATAAATTCCCCTAAGTAGTCCCACATGATTGCCTAGACCAGTGTTGTCCAACTGAAATTGTTTACTGGGCCAAAAATAAAAATACAATGTGGGCAGCACATATTTATTTACAACAAAACATATACAATATACAAAAATACATATATTTTATATGTATTTTAATGCAAAACTTGCTTTTCAATTTTTTAATGTCAAGAGGTATTTTTGATGTTGTACAATACAATTGGTTTTTTAGATTTTTATCGGTCAATCTATTACAACTTTTACATTTAACAATCTTTAATTTTGAGAAAAAAGATTCACAAAGATAGGTGATTCCCATTGCAGCTGTAATGCTCATCACATTTTTTTAGGTTAGGGAATTTATCATTACAGACATATTTTGTATAAAACTGAATTTTATTATTGGCTTCAAACATATATTTCAATTCAGAAGATGAATGGAGATCTATCAAATCTATCTGCAAATTTGTTGGAGCTTGTTCCACAACAATGTCAAATGGACATAAGAAAATATTAAACATATTCTCATAAATTTTTAAATATGAAAATCTTTCTTGAAATTCTATTAGTAAATTAGTAATTTCTTGTGCATATTTAGAAAAATGTTTTTCTAAATATGCACAAAAATATGCAATCTAAACACGAAATGATTTGAAAATTCAAATCATTCTGTGTTTAGATTGTTAACAGGTTTAATTATGCTTTACTGTGCAAATTATTTGATTATAGTCAGCTGCCAAGGGCCACTTCATGTAAAGGTTATGTTCTGTAAGTCATTTCAAAATCGAATGACCATTAGTTGTTTTCTTTTCTTTGATCTGGCAGCCATTTTTAATAAAGTTATTCTCTTTAGCTATCTCTGCTAATTAAGTTGTGGAAAATGCTTAAAAATTTTTGGAAATTGAAAGAAGAAATTTAAATTTTTATGAATAAAAAGACCAGAATGTTCCTAAATTATATGATGATTTTTGGATTTATGTTTCCTTCCAAATATCATAATGAAATTAAATGAACTTAATAAGTAGCTTCAAGGTGAAAACAAATTGATCACAGACTGTTATCAAAATATAAAAGCATTCATAGCAAAATTCAAACTTTATGAAAGTCAGTTAAAATCAAAAACTACAATTCATCGTCCAAAATTACATAAATTTAATAGTAACAAAAACATTTTTCGAAATATGTACAAGAAATTACTAATTTACTAATAGAATTTCAAGAAAGATTTTCATATTTAAAAATTTATGAGAATATGTTTAATATTTTCTTATGTCCATTTGACATTGTTGTGGAACAAGCTCCAACAAATTTGCAGATAGATTTGATAGATCTCCATTCATCTTCTGAATTGAAATATATGTTTGAGGCCAATAATAAAGTT